TTCCAGTCCAGTTATCAAGGACTCAAGTACAAATCTTCAGAAATACCTCCTAGTCATAATGAGTATATTCTTAGCAGTATCAAACAGACTCTTGCATGCAGTTATATACAATTATTATAATTAAATAATTTTTTGCTAAATGAATCTTGACTTCCTAGTTCTAAGAAAAACTCCAACATTATAATCCTTCAAATTGGACACATAATTTTGGCTGTGAACATTAAGCAGCCTTTAGGGCTAAATTTATGCAACTCAAGTCCCTTTCAATCCATTGTCCACAAATATTTGACAATCTTGGTTCTTCAGAGCATGGCTTAAGACTTTTAAGATATAACTGACTAATTTAGGTACACTACATTCTGAAAAATATTGAAGTGAAGTCACTAAGAATGCATGAAAAAATACAATAATCCCATTTTGGATTTAAAACACAGAAATGTTTGGCATAAACTATAACAATTTGTTTTTGAAAACTTGAATTTCTCAGTGGAAAATGCACATACACTTTTAACTGCCTCCTGTCTCCAAATACACTTCTAAACCAGAAGAAAAAACTTCCTTTCAAGAAAAACAATTTTCCTCAGAAATCAGAGATGAAGCTTTCAAGCAACGGAGGTGGTTATACAGGTAATCGTAAAAAACTTCCTACTTTTCAGACCATAGATTACATCAGAAATCTGGTTACAAAGCCAACTATTTTGCTGAAATGCTACCCATATACCTGTTTTTCAGATTACAGCCAAATATTTAGCACAAATTGCATGCATGCAATTTTCTGACTTTTTTGGTATCATTAACCAAGTTATCAGAGATACAGTATTAGGTTATCAAGTGTTCTTAAATAGGACGTGGTTAGAGATGGGGACGAATATAAAAACAGATCAGCTTTTTCGATGAAAATAGCCAATTCATTAAATATTTGTCTCTTCATATTAGTGAGATCCAGAGACCCCCATGAATACAAAGGGACAAATATTTACCCATTTTTATTTACCCTTTGCATTTTAAAAAAAAACATTGTGCCTTCAACTGATCGGTGGCCGAGAGACAGCCACCACCCACAGCCTACCTCGACCCCATTCCTCTCCCTACCTTAGCCCCCATCTCACCCTCACTGACACCCCCTTACCATAATCATCGCTGCTGAGGTCTCCGTCTGGCCTCCCAGCCACAGGGGGGCAACTTCATGCCCTCACAAAGTGGGATGATTCATCAAAATTGTGAGTCATCCCCATCTCTAGTCCTGATATTCCAGATCTATAAACATAAGGTGTTAGAACAGGGAAACATGCACCTTAGACATTGCTGATGAATTTTCTGTCCAAACTTTATTTCAGAGCTTCCAAGGAAGAAAATCAATGGCACAGAGAATTGGT